GTAAACTAATAATGAGGCGTTCTGGCAAACTGCGCTATAAATTTTTAATGACAAGCTTGATTAGAAAAATCATTAACGATACGGCTCGCTTTAATTCGACGATAAATTCCGCGATAAGTGTCTCAACGTTAACGATAAGAAAAAATGTCCAGAGTTTTCAACGTTTCTTGGAACATTTTTATCTCATTAAATTCATCTTGCAATTATATTTCACTCGAAAATAAAATACATTTTGTAGATGAAAGAAGAAGAAGAAATAGATTACTTATTTTCAGAAATGAGCGGGCGGCTGATAATTAACTGAAACATTATTACACGGATATCCAGCTAACAGATACATTTTGTCGGGATTAAAAAAAGGACGCTAAAAGCGGGAGAATCTTGTTGTCCGTCCGTCTGAACACGCGAAGGATGCACTTTCCCGGGACACCCACGCTCGCGCGTCGTCTCTCGACAATGTCCTTTATGGAACGAGACAAGAAGCATCCATCGTCGCGCGCGGCGCGTCGTACTTCATTGTCGGAAAGACGGCGGCAGCCGGATGGAGCGTCTTTATTTCCGGCCGAGCGGAGGAATGATCTCTAAAAGCGTCGACGAAAGCTAGAAAAGAACGATCTATCCACCAATATATCTGAGCGAACACTATGATCTTGTTAACTAGAAATATTGCCACAAAAAGAATCTTTCAGATATAATTGCGCAACTCCCGCTCGTGTATTTCCGTTTCATAATAATGTTGTCTAAAAATAAAGCAGCTGATGTTTGCGTCATATTTCGATAAATATTTTCGATTAAAAGAATGTAAATTGCTAAAATTAAGAGACATTTCCATTTACTGCTTTCAATGAAGATTCTCGTTCATTTAAGCATGCTTTTGTTTACAACTTTATTGTTCAATTTAGATATGAAGGGAGTATAATGTCAATAAATGCTACGTCAATATATAAATCTGTGTTAATTCGAGATAAGAGAAAAAGTGCAGTTATGCTGTATGCGCGCGCTGCGATGCGCGACTCGCGATTAGCGCGATAGCTGACGCGTGGTCTTTTGTTCAATGTAACAAATACCTGCAATCACAGAGAAATATTATCGAGAGGTGGGCGCACGATTCCAGACAAATTTACACGAGGGAATATTGTTGCTCGGGAAATATGTTGATTCTATTGCATCAGTATATTAACGACTCGATAAGTAAATAGAACGGACTGTAAATAGATATTTTGCAGATAATTTTCAATTGAAAAACATTTTATGTGTCAAGGTAACAGTATTGCCAGACACTACAGATGCCATCTGTAAGCGTATTAACGCCGATACGAAACAAATGCGAAATTTCATTTTTTTCCTGCGCGGTTTTTATTATTAGCGCCTACAGCGAGTTTCGCTAAACTTGCTTAAATCATGGAAAATTACAAAAGTAAGCACCAGACGCGTAAATTAAGTCCTCGTTAAGTCGCATTGAACAAACATTTGTGTTGATAAATTCCACCTTGCTGCGTTTCAGAAGATAATCGAAATGTCATTCAGAGCGAACCAGGAAAGACCGCAGTATGCGCGCTCATAATACGAAACTGTCAACGCTTATTGCGGCATGCGAACGGTCTCCCCCTTTTACGGAGGATTATGTAAACCGTATTGAATAATTGCTGCATTGAGATCTCTCCGTCCAATGCACAGTCATCACAATCGGCAAATGTTGCGGTCTTTATTTGATTGCTCATTTTGCGCGCCTTGTGTATTATGACAGTAGCAGCAGCAGCTGAGGATGAACGGAAAAGATGCGCGGCATTTATCGTCTTTTTTAGTCCACGACTGACACTCACGAGAATTCTATTGTTGAGCGTGACAAATACAAAAATACCACCTCGAGTAGTACACGTCGCTTTTGTCGGCCGAGAAAACGGCTAGACGAATCGGGTAAACGAGCGAATAATTACGGCGTGACAATTGGATTCACACGAGAAGAAATCGTCTAATGTCCGGCAGAGGGAAAAAAAAGCGGAAAAGCGAGGTATAATGAAGCGGGTTTTCTTAACCTCGAATGTAAGCGTGTGTGTAAACGCAGAAGACAAAATTGCCGGTACAACGAATTGATGATGATGTTTGGATAAAAATAATGATACAGAGATTTAAATTAGATTTAATTTGGCGGTATTTAAATGGTGCATTCAATTAACGTCTGACAGGTACGTTTAGAATTTTATAACGAGATCATCGTCGACTGGGATTCATCTCACGCGTACTAGTTTACCGCGTATTTCTCTTTGTTTCCTTTTCATGCTCACTTTGTACTTTATTTTGATGAGTGCGCGTGTATCGTCGCTTGGAAAACAGTTCGCAGTCGAAAAACAAACTTCCCTTTGTTCCGCGCTGTGCTGCGCGCAAAACGGAAAAAACGGACGGGCGAGTATCGGAATCGCAGATTGTGCATTATCTCGTTGGAATAATAGCCGCGTTTAATCAAAACTTTCCCCGCCGAATCCACAATTAAACCTGCCATTGATATGCCGGGGTCGTCCATAAGCGCGATAAACCCAAGACCCTTGTGTGGCGCTCATCGCTCTTTCGCTTAAGTATAACTCATCGTTTCAATTGCATCTTTCTCGATTGTACCGGCAACTCTTACTTGATCAACGCTGCTCAACGATTACTAAAGTTCCTTTCCACATCATAGTT